TCACTCTGTCACCCAGGCTGGTGGGCAGTGGCACAATCTCAGCTTACTGCAACCTCCTCCTGGGTTCAAATAATTCTCATGTTTCAGCCTCCTGATTAGTTGGGATTACAGGTGCATGCCACCATGCCAAGCCAATTTTTGTATCTTTATTGGCCAGGCTGGTTTTGAACCCCTGACCTAAAGTGATCTGCCCACCTCAGCCTCCCAAAGTGCTAGGATTATAGGCATGAGCCACCATGCCTGGCCTGGGTTATTATTTTCTATTTGATTTGTAAGTAGTCATTTATATTTTGAATGTTAGTCCTTTTTTATATTACAGATTTTGCAGATACTTTGTGATCTGAAGAGCCTTTTAAAAGTCTCTATGCTTGAGACCTACCTACAGAGGTTCTCGTTCATAAGTCTGGTGGTTGTAGGGATTGGCACCTGTCTTTTAAAATTTGATGTACAATCAGATTTAAGAACAACTATAATGAGAGATTATGGAGAATGGAGAAATTTAGGACAGCAGCTAAGACCTCAGAAAGATTTGTGTTCAATCTCAGCAGTGTCATTTACCAACTATGGAGCCTTGGGCAAGTTATTAAACTTCCGTAAGCTTTGTTTTCTTCATATGAAAAATGGAAATAATAGGATTTATGACATAGTTAAATGAGATTGATTTACGTGAAATATTTAACACAGTACGTAGTTCATAGTAAAGTTGAAAAAATAAAAGAGTATTATGATATCTAGTCAAGCAATCAAAATATTAAGACTACAAAATACATGTTATGTTATTTGTGAAAATTGTACATCAAGGTTCAAAATTGGTAACCACTCTCAGTATCAGGTTCATGGAGGAATTGAAATCGATCAACTGGGTCTTACTGAATGAATAGGATTTGATAGGGAAGGTGGAAATATGTTCTACATCATGGAGTGGCATGCACAAAGGCAGAAGACTTGCATGCTGTTTGGAGTGGACGATGGTGGGAGATGACGCTGGAAAGGTGGGCTGCAGCCCAGTTAATGACCGTCGTAAATACTGGATACAGGAAGTAGAAGTTGGAATTAGTGGAATTAGAACATAGTAGGCAACTGATTAACATTTGCTAACTTAATTATTATAGTCATTTGTTTGAATTTTTTTTCTTTTTTTTTTTTTGAGACGGCATCTTGTTATACGGCCCAGGCTGGAGTGCGGTGGCCAT